TATCGGCATGGAAAAATGAGAACACTCTAAATAGTGTAAAATCAATGGTATCAAATATTTATTAAAAGCATAGACAAAGCTTTATAAATTAAACTCCCCAGGAGATCACTTCTAAATTCCGAAATAAGCAATGACGTCATGAGTGTGAGCTCTGCCCAATAGTCAGGAAGTCTGATGTGTAATTTATGACCCTTGAAAGCCTGAAGGTGCTCATGGATTTTGGGCCCCTCTATGCCTCTATACAGCAAAATAAGTCTCATACATGTGGTGGCCCCATACTCTGAAGGAGTAAAACAATGTGATTTGGTGTGCAATTGTATGTATGCTTATGATGTGTGTGGGAAATAACTTGTTAAATTGACACATTTGTGAAAAAAAATAAATTTTAGTTACTTTCTTTATATTCCAAAAAATTGTGGCAAAAAATTCTAACTTCAAAATACTCACTATTCCTCTTACTAAATACCTAGGCAGCTACCTTCCAAAAAAGTTTAATTTGAGGGTGTTTGTGTTGCCCTGGCATTCTAGGCCTTGTTTACACATATGGTTAGGAGGGCATTAAAAGCGCGCAGCTTAGCCATATTTTTGCCTTCACACACACAACTGCTCCCCCATACTGTATATTGCAAAGTCATCAAAGTGGGTAGTTCATATGTTGTAACAGTGCAGCAAAAATTATCCCTGCTGTCACATTCAATGAAGGGCTATGAGAAAGTGGATTGTTCTTTAGAGAGCAACGCTAGTGTAAACTAGCTCTTACAGCCTTGAGAAATGTGAAACACATAAATTTGAAATGTATATGCATCATAATTTGTAGACTCTCTAACTTTTTACACAATCTAATTAATATATACAGTACCTATATGTTGTTTTAATAAAGCAAATGAAGAAGCATACATTTGGCTTAAAGCGGTTGTAAAGCTTGCATTTTGTTCTGGGGTTCCCTGCCAGCAGTGTCCTCTCCTTCTCTTCCCCAAGTGCCCCCATAGCAAGCAGCTTGCTATGGGGGTACTCATGAAGGCGCATTCCCGAGCCAGGATGTGTGCTTCTATAGACACACAGAGAGCGGCCCGGCCCCACCCTCTGATCCCTCTTCACAGGATTTGATGGACAGTAGCAGGAGCCAATGGCTCCCTTTGCTGCTTCTGTGTCTTGTAATACAAAAAGAGAGCAGAAGAGCTGCCGCAGAAGGAACAGTACTGGATTGAGAGAAGGCTCAGGCAAGGTTTTTTTTTTGGGGGGGGGGGGGGGACTGTAGAGAGCTGCTATTGAAAGGGTTTTTTTTTTTTACCTTAATGCAGAGAATGCATTAGGGTGAAAAAAAAAAACCCTTTTGCCTTTGAAACCACTTTAAATTTATGAAGGAAGATTGTTTGCAATGGATTTTGCCAGAAACAGAAAATAAACTGTTCTTTTTTTTAATGCCAGTCCTTTTTCCTATATATTGTAAGAAAGTACAAAATACATTGGTGATTAAATACAGTCAAATGAAAACTCTGTCTGCCTCAAAAAATTATATACTGTAGAGTTAACTTGGGTACAGTGTTGCATGGCTGAGTAATTTTCAGTCAAGCTACCACAGCCCTGAAAACTGCAAAAATTACCTAGAAGAAAGGGGGGTCTAACATATAGGTCCTCAAGTTGTTAAACAAAGATTTTCCTATATTATCCTGTCACTCTTTACATATAAGCCATGATCCACCACCTTAAAGCAAACCTGTGGCTAAACAAAAAGTCAAAAGCTAAAATCCCAAGGAGATAGCATAAACATTCAGTTTATGCTTCTTGTTACAACATATAGGAGACAAATAATAAGGGACTTTTAAGGTACCAGAAAGAGTCATAAAGTGCATACAGTATAAACAAATTTGATAGTCATAAAATAGTGCATAATCAATACTCACAAATATTCCCCATGTTGCTTGTCTATTATTCTAAATAATGAGAACACTGTCTTCTAAAAGTCCATTTATAGCATGATCACAACATTATTGGGGGAATGATGAGCAATGGACTTGTGTTTCATTGATTTACAACTTCTTCAGGAATTAATGGAGTGTAAGTAATTTAAAGTATACAATACAAAAATGAAACCATAAATAATAAAAAAAATATCAATAATAAATGCAAAATACAAACTAAAGTACAATGTCTTATTTTATTACGTTTATGTACAGACAAGAGAAAAACAGCTATATGAAATTATGTGGAGATCAGCATTTACAAGGCAAGAACAAAAGGAGGCTCTGCCTGGGACCACAGGAAAACACAGCACCAAAGATTGTGAAAGATTTATTTAAACATTCTTATTTGACAGGGTTTATAAATAAGCAGGTTGTCACTGTCTGGAATCTGTAACTATAGCAGTAGAGAGGCTCCCACTGACCAGAAGGACAAGTATACAAGCAGGTCACTCTGTCGGATGATGTGGGCTTATCCAAGGTGTGGGGTCTAACAAATCGGTATTCACCAGACCAACTGGTGTTCACCAGAGCTCCTGATGGTGGAGGTGGGTTTTGCTGCGTGTTAGTACCAGGTCACAGAACTCATGATCACCTTACCAGGAGGTGAGCAAGCTGGGATTCAGTAGCTAATATAGGAGGTAGAGAACAACCTGAAAAATAGTCAGTAGACAATTGGTTCCAGGTCGGGATCAAGCAGAAGAATAGTCGAAGAATAATCCAAAAGATTGGTAACAAGTAGTAGCGAAGACATGAACGGCTGTAGGAGTGACTATTGGCTAGAAAGAGCACAATAATCTAGCAAAAAGGAAGTTCAAAGGCATGACTTTAATAGGAACTTCATGGGAAGAGAAAACGGTTCAAGGTTCAAGACAAACAAGGTTCAAGGCAGGATCATTTAAGTAATTGTCCAGGAAGCTGTCCAGCATTCAAGGTGGCTCAGCAAGAAGAGATATCGCCACAATAGAGTTTGCAGTTTTAGGTTTGGGTCTTGACACCAAAGATAGAGTACACTCATGCATTACTATGTACTATTTCATTAATCATGTACAATTTGTCCCCATCTAAAGAAGTGTAATCAGCCCCGAAGAATCCACTGAAAATAAATACTCAGAAGAGTATTTCAAACAAAATAAGCATATGTGAAATTTTGTATTGCAACCCTTTACAGCAGGGGTATTGAATTAAAATTCAAGGAGGTCCAGTCACTAAAATGTTCTTCTGGCCGAGATCCGAATCACATGTTTGTGCTATGGCTCAGAGTGTAGTCACTGGATGTCTATAAAAAATTAGAAATGTACAATTTCCATAGCAAAAAAGGAAGGGGTGGATGGAAGGAAGGAAGAGAGGAGTGGGTGGAAGGAAGAAAGGGAGGGGTGGGTGGAAGAAAGGGGTGGGTGGAAGGAAGGAAGGGTGAAATGAAGGGAGGAGTGGAAGGAAGGGAGGGGTGGCTGTAAGGAAGGAAGGGAGGGGTGGATGGAAGGAAGGGCTAGGTGGAAGGAAGGAAGGGGTAGGAGGAAGGAAGGAAGGAAGGAAGGAAGGAAGGAAGAAAGGAAGAAGGAAGGAAGGAAGGAAAGGTGAGTAAAAGGAAGGAAGGGAGGGGTTGAAGGAAGGAAGGAAGGAAGGAAGGAAGGGAAGGAAGGAAGGAAGGAAGGAAGGAAGGGGGTGGGTGGAAGGAAGGGGAGGGTGGAAGGAAGGGGTGGGTGGAAGGAAGGAAGGAAGGAAGGGGGGTGGATGGAAGGAAGGAAGGAAGGAAGGACGGAAGGAAGGAAAGCATGGGTATAAGGAAGTAAGGGAGGGGTGGGTGGAAAAAAGGAAGGTGAGGATGGAAGGAGGAAGGGAGGGGTGGGTAGAAGGAAGGGGTGGATGGAAGGAAGGAAGGAAGGAAGGAATGGGTGGGTGGAAGGAAGGGAGGGGTGGGTAGATAGAAGGGGTGGATGGAAGGAAGGAAGGGAAAGGTGGGTGGAAGGAAGGAAGGAAGGAAGGAAGGAAGGAAGGAAGGGGTGAGTGGAAGGAAGGAAGGGAGGGGGTGGGTGGAAGGAAGGAAGGGGTAGGTGGGTGGGTGGAAGGAAAGAAGAGAGGGGTGGATGGAAGGAAGGATGGAAGGGAGGGGTGGAAGGAAAGAAGGGAGGAAGGGAGGGGTGGGTGGAAGGAAGGGAGGGGTGGAAGGGAGGGGTGGAAGGTATTGGAGTCACATGACTCATTCAGATGCATCAGGCTGTCGGCTGCTGTGTTCAATTTCCCGCCCACACATCCTCTGAAGCTGCACAGACTTGAGTGTGGGCTGGCACAGGGGGAGGCAGAGCAGATCCAGACTCTCTCCCCTCTTCTATTGGTGCGGAGGATGGAGGGAGGGACTGGGCATTGAGAAGAACACAGTGGTGGTGGGAGGGAGAGGGGGCGGGGGGGATAGAAAGAAAACTGAACCATCAGGTATGTTCTTTGCAGCTGTGGGGGCAGTGACAAGCAGAAATCTCCTGTATGACTTTTAATGAAGCAGCTGGAAGCCTCTTCTCCTCCTCTCCCACCCCGCGGATTTCAGCTGCTTTATTGAAAGCCATACAGAAGATCGCTGCTAGTCACTGCCTCCACCTCCACCCCTCCCACACACCCCTACTCCCGGCAATGTCGTTGTGGCCTGGTGGTCCAGAAGGGAGTGCTGCTGGGGCCGTGCTCGGACCGCGGGTCTGCCATTTAGTGATCGCTGATGTAGAGTCTTCCAGATACTTCAGCCAAAACTACATTCTAAAATAGATAAAGTCAGTTAAACGTATGCCTGAACTCACTAAAGGGTTTCCCAAATAAGTAAAAAGACTGAAAAAAGGAAAGATTACTGTCCAAACCTGGTAAGCGTCTCTTCACCTTATTGTTGTCTTGCAGGTGTTTGTGATCCTATGCATGGCAAAAAGTGCATGTTGTGGTGTGACTCCCTTATACACTATATTGCCAGAGGTATTGGGACACCTCTGCAAATCATTGGATTCAGGTGTTCCAATCACCTCCTCATGGCCACAAATGTATAAAATCAAGCACCTAGACATGCAGACTGCTTCTACAAACAGTTGTGAAAGAATGGGTCGCTCTCAGGAGCTCAGTGAATTCAATCGTGGTACCGTGATAGGTTGCCACCTGTGCAATAAGTCCATCCCTGAAATGTCCTTGCTACTAAGTATTCCATGGTCAACTGTTAGTGGTATTATAACAAAGTGTAAACAACTGGGAACAACAGCAACTCAGTCACGAAGTGGTAGGCCACATAAAATGACAGAGCAAGGTCAGTGCATGCTGAAGCGCACAGTGCACAGAAGTCACCAACTGTCTGCAGAGTCAATAGCTGAAGACCTCCAAACTTTGTGTGGCCTTCAGATTAGCACAATAACAGTGCATAGAGAGCTTCATGGAATGGGTTTCCATGGCAGAGCAGATGCATCCAAGCCTTATATCACCAAGTGCAATGCAAAGTGGCAGATACAGTGGTGTAAAGCACACCACCACTGGACTCTAGAGCAGTGGAAACGTGTTCTCTGGAGTGATGAATCATGCTTCTCTGTCTGGTAATCCGATGGATGTGTCTGGGTTTTGAGGTTGCCAGGAGAACAATACTTGCCTGACTGCATTGTGCCAAGTGTAAAGTTTGGTGTGTGGGGGGGGGGGATTATGGTGTGGGGTTGTTTTTCAGGGGGTGGGCTAGGCCCCTTAGTTCCAGTGAAGGGAACTCTTAAGGCATCAGCATATGAAGACATTTTGGACAATTTCATGCTCCAGCTTTGTGGGAACAGTTTGGGGATGGTCCCTTCCTATTCTAACACGACTTTGCACCAGTGCACAAAGCAAGATCCATAAACACATGGATGAGCGAGTTTGGTTCAGAGGAACTTTACTGACCTGCACAGACTCTTGACCTCAACCCGATGAATTGGAGTGGAGACTGCAAGCCAGGCCTTCTCGTCCAACATCAGTGTCTGACCTCACAAACCTTGTGGACAGCCTTCCCAGAAGAGTTGAAGCTGTTATAGCTGCAAAGGGTGGGACAACTCAATATTGAACCCTACAGACTAAGACTGGGATGTCATTAAAGATCATGTGTGTGTAATGGCAGGCGTCCCAATACTTTTGGCAATATAGTATATACTGTCAGTGTGTGCTGGAGCCCTGCCCAGTGGTGTCCCAGGGTAGTCCATTTGCAGCATCTTGTTATAGCATAATTATGCCTCAGTACCACCCAGAGACCCTGTTGGTCCTAGCAGTACAGATTAGGCACCACCCTTGATGCCATCCCACAGTGCCTGACCATTGTAAGAGACAGGAATATGTTAATTATTATACAAATGGCAGCTTAGAGAAAGTTGTTTCTCTAAGCGCATTCAGGCTGCAGGCACCGTTGTAGCCCATTAGCTGGACAATCGCTGTGCAGGGTGCCGCTTGTTTACGTACATCACACCACGGTTTTAGATCGGCCGGTCCTTTGGTCACAAGTTTGGTGAGAAGGTCTGGGGTCTGATGCCGTGGGCGTGACGTATTACTGTTAGTCGTGGTCTTGCGATTGTCGCATGTTGGTGGCGGCGACCGTTATCCGTGAACCTGCGTTCTGTAAAGAACACTAACTAACTAGGCTTATAGCTTAAATAAGCTAAAAACCCACCCCCATTCTAAGTCTATTCTATCTACCCTGTCAGAGGAAAGATGCTTATATTTACCTATTCTGAAAATGTTCCAGTCTGGTCGCATGATCGCATGATCAGGTTGCAGGGCCGGCTTCAGTGTAGAGGAGGAACAGGCAATAATGGCCGTCCCATAGTAAGCCTAAGAATCTCCCAGTCTCTGCCACCATTGTTTTGATCTCTTTTCTACACTGGAGTCGGCGCTGGAGAGATCATGTGACTGGACCAGAGCGACTTCAGGACAGATAAGTATAGACATCTTTCATTTTAAAGGGTAGATAGAATAGACTTAGAATGGGGGTGGGAGTGCATTTAAACTTGTTTAGGTTTTGACTTGCCTTCCATTTTAACCAGCAGCTGTATAAATATCAGATTGATAATAAATAAGAATAGACTGTAATCTTTATTCTTCCACTTTAGGATTTAGTATATTGTGGACATTTTTGAGGATTACAGAACTAAATATCTGCTCCCTTTTATATCTAAGATACCAATTTGTTCACCTTTGCTTACAAACCTCTGCAACTCTTTCCTAAATTTAATAGTCAGATCCCCCTCTAATAACTTATAGGTTTCAGTATCAGACAATAGTCTATTCACCTCTAGCATATAGGCACCCTTGTCAAAAACCACATTCCCCCATCCATCAAAAGGATGATAAAATTATTTTTTTTCGAATGCCTTGATCCACACTAACAATATTCTTAATTTTCCCTTACCAGTTTGCCATACCAATTGCCATAAAGAGGTCTAAAAATTGATTGCAGAGTTGTTAGGAATTAAAAATTGATATATTGGTCAGGGCATTGTGTTTATACTGAGAGAAAAAGGGTCACTGTTCACCCTCAGTCTAGGCCCCTGATTCATGATAAATGTTTCTTAATTTTAGGTTTCCACTGATATAATAGTTGAATTTTTAAGTTCTTTCTTGGCCACATTTTTAAGCCCTAACCTAGAACTCTGACTCCGCTACATCTCCTCCTCCTGATGTCTCTTTTCATCTGTGTTGAGTTCCTCTGTTAAATCCCCACCGGTTTCCTCCTCTTATCCCGTTGGGTCCCCGTCCTGTGAAACTCTTAGTTGCCCACCCAGGTGCTCTCCTGAGGCTTCCTGTTTGTTTCCCATTTACTCCATTTTTGTGGTTCCCTGCTCATAACATCCCTCCTGAACAAATGTGGAATGTGGAGGGTCCTTTGGTGGGCAATCATCCATGTCGGTTTTAATTAATATATCTGGATCGTAATTCCATTGCTGACCTTGTGCTACCTCCAGAAATTATATAGTTAAAGCAATTGCATTTATGTTTATTCTTTTGTCATTTCACTGTTTAATGTTTACGGTTATGCTGCCACCAATCCTTCCCTTTTTGTATGATGTAACTTCCTTCCTTTCTCATTGTGAGTTCCTGTATTGTTCCTTGAAGATTTAAAATAAGGCTTGGAACAAAATATTTGTTTTGACCTAAACACCAATGAACATTTACTGTATCATATCCTTTGTCTCAACCCTTATACATACAATAAAGATATTAATGGATCCCAAGTGCTTGGTGAGTTAAAGCGGTTGTAAAGGATAAAGGTATTTTACCTTCATGCATTCTATGCACGAATGTAAAAAAACCTTCTGTGTGCAGCAGCTCCCCCGGCCCCCTCAATACCTACCTGAGCCTCGTTGTGATCCAGCGATGTAAGTGACAGCCTTGACTGTCCCAGGTTTCTACCTCCTCATTGGCTGAGACAGCAAGCAGGAGCCATTGGCTCCCACTGCTGTCAATCACAGACAGTCAGCCAATGAAAAGAGAGAGGGGGCAGGTTTGGTGAACACATGGAGCAGTGGGTGTCCCCAAGCTGATTGTTGTGGGGGCACCCGACAGACAGGAGGAGCCAGGAGAGCCTGTGGGGGACCAAAGAAAAGGAGGATCCAGACAGCTCTGTGCATAAACACAAAAGGGAGAATACAGGAAGAAAAAGGCTCTAAAACTCAGGAGAATACAGGAAGGAAAAAGATCTAGAACTTCAACATACAGGGATTAAAAGGCTATAGAACTCAGGAGAACACAGGAAGGAAAAGGCTCTAGGATACAGGAGAAAAAAGGGAGGAAAAGGCTTTAGGACTCAGGAGAATACAGTGAGGAAAACGCTTAGGACAGGGGAGAATAAAGGGAAGAAAAGGCCCTAGATGCAGGAGAATATAGGGAGGAAAACGCTCTAGGACTCAGTAGAGTACAGGGAGAAAAAGTCTCTAAGACTCAGGAGAATACAGGGAGGAAAAGGCTCTAGGACTCAGGAGAGTACAGGGAGAAAAAGGCTATAAGACACAAGAGAATACAGGGAGAAAAGGTTCTATGACTCAAGACAATACAGGGAGAAAACATTCTAGGATTCAGGAGAATACAGGTAGGAAAAGGGTCTAGGACTCAGGAAAATACAGGGAGGCAAAGGCCCTAGAATGCAGGAGAATATAGGGAAGAAAAAACTCTAGGACTCAGGAGAATACAAAGAGGAAAAAAGCTTTAAGACTCAGAATACAGGGAGAAAACATTCTAGGACTCAGGAGAATACAAGGAGGAAAAGGCTCTAGGACTCAGGAAAAAAACAGGGAGGAAAAGGTTCTAGAACACAGGGGAATATAGGGAGAAAACTGCTCTAGTACTCAAGAGAATACAAGGAGGAAAAGGCTCTAAAGGACTCAGGAGAATACAGGGAGGAAAAAGGCTTTAGGGCTCAGGAGAACACAGGGAGGAAAAGGCTTTAGGACTCAGGAGAACACAGGGAGGAAAAGGCTCTAGGAGAAATACAGGGAGGAAAAGGCTCTAGGATGCAAGGAATATAGGGAGAAAAACCGCTCTAGTACTCAAGAGAATACAAGAAGGAAAAGGCTCTAGAACTCAGGAGAATACAGGGAGAAAAAGGCTTTAGGGCTCAGAGAAACACAGGGAGGAAAAGGCTCTAGGAATCTAGGACAATATAGGGTGGACAATGCTCTAGAACTCAGGAGAATAGAGGGAGGAAAAGGCTTTAGGACTCAGGAGAACACAGGGAAGAAAAGGCTCTAGGATTCAGGAGAATACAGAGGGGAAAATGCCCTAGGATGCAGGGGAATATAGGTAGGACAAAAAACCTCTCTAGTACTCAAGAGAATACAAGGAGGAAAAGGCTCTAGGACTAAGGAGAATACAGAGGAGGAAAAAGGACTTGTGACCCTGGAGAACACAGGGAGGAAAAGGCTCTAGGACTCAGGAGAATACAGGGAGGAAAATGTTCTAGGACTCAGGAGAATACAAAGAGAAAAAGGCTCTATGACTCAAGACAATACAGGGAGAAAACATTCTAGGACTTCAGGAGAATACAGGGAGGAAAAGGCTCAAGGATCAGGATAAAACAGGTAGGAAAAGGGTCTCTAGGACTTAGGAAAATACAGGGAAGAAAAGGCCCAAGGATGCAGCAGAATATAGGGAGGAAAACACACTAGGACTCAGAGACTATAGAGGGAGGAAAAGGCTCTAGGACTCAGGAGAATACAGGGAGGAAAATGCTCTAGGACTCAGAGAATATAAGGAGGAAAATGCTCTAGGACTCAGGAGAATACAGGGAGGAAAAGGCTTTCAGGACTCAGGAGAATACAGGGAGAAACATTCTGGGACTCAGAAGAATACAAGGAGGAAAAGGCTCTAGGACTCAAGAGAAAACAGGGAGGAAAATGCTCTAGGATGCAGGGGAATATAGGGAGAAAACCTCTCTAGTACTCAAGAGAATA